GTCTTTGTTTCGGTTTTTGCGGGCGCAGCTCTGGTAAACATTTCAGTTGTGGTTCCCTGAGTGAAATTTCTCGTGGTTAAATATAATAAAAAACAAAAATACAATTTACAAAGAGACAAGAGTTGATGTGATTCTCCCCGTGCAGGCGCCAGGCCTCTGCTCGGGCCGAGGTGTTCGACTCTCGTGTGAACCTGCACACGACTGTTCTTTGTTTTCAGGTGAACTTCAGCTCGTCTCTGTGGAAAAACTGCAGATTTAGTTTGTGTAGAGAAACAAGACGTCGCTGTTTCCCCGGGACAGTCCCCGACCTGAGTCTGTCAATGAAGAAACTCTCGTCTATTTATCTAAAGATTGTGAGTTCTTAATATATTTAATATTTATTGTGATTTTAGCAAAGTGTGATGAATGAATTTAACAAATTGTTTATGGAACCAACCGTTCTGCTCTGGACTCTGGAACATTTTAACACTTTATTTTATATTTGTGTTTTTGTTTGTGTTTTTTTGCACAGGATGTGGATGAGTGAAATGTGAAATGTGGAGCAAAACAAATTTACCTACAGGTATGAATAAAGTGACCGAACTGAACCAAACCTCAGTGTTGGGGAGTAACAGATTACAAGTACCGGAGTTATGTAATCAGAGTACAAATGATGAGTTACTGTATTCAGTTACAGTTACTGTTTCAGTGAGTTGTAATTGGATTACAGTTACTTTGTTGAAATAAATGGATTAAACAGAGGGATTTTACTGTTTTCACATTTTGGGCTAAACCAGGACTAAAACCAGGACTAAACCAGGACTAAACCAGGACTAAACCAGGACTAAACCAGGACTAAACCAGGACTAAACCAGGACTAAACCAGGACTAAACCAGGACTAAACCAGGACTAAACCAGAACTAAACCAGGACTGAACCAGGACTAAATATAACTAAATATGTCAATATGACAGTAACAGTATTTGGACATAATTGTGATTTCATATAAAAATAATTTCTCAATCAATAATATTTTTAATCTGGTCAAGTAAAAACTGAACAAACATGAATTTTCAGGATGTGTTTGTTACATTCATGTAGTTTTAAAAAACATGACAATATCAAGTAATCCAAAGTATTCAGATTACATTACTCACTTTAAGTAATTTAATGGATTCTGTTACAAACTACATTTTGGGGTGTGTAATCTGTAATCTGTAGGGGATTACATTTTAAAAGTAAACTTCCCAACACTGTCAAACCTGTGTCTCTGTCCCTGCAGATTTACACAAAACCACTGATTTGTTTTATAGTTTTATACAGAAATGTCCCAGTGTCTCTATTTGGACCAATCTGATGCTGCAACAGTAAAGAGAAACATAAACTGACATTTATTTTTGACTAAATACAGAAAATCTGCTTAAAAATGACCATAACACAAAGTACAGAACAGTTTTCCTTAATTACATTTCACTTATTTCACCATTTTATCATCACCAACCTCCACAAACCAGAGACGTCCCAGTTTTATTTTGAAAATCTGGTCACTTTACTTCTGTGCTTTTGAATTTCCTTAAATAAAAATAAACATTTACCTTAATTTCACTCTCTGTGTTGTGAATCGCTGTCTCCAGTTCTTTGAGGTTTAATGTTTTTCCAGACTCGGTGCTGTTGAGTTTGTGCAGGTCCCATTTCAGTCGACGCAAATCAACCTGAACCTGTGAAAAAAGAAGTAAAAACAACAACACTACATTTATTCTAAAAGTCATCACATCAGCCTTGTTAAAGCTGAATAAAGAGAAGTTGGTTTATAAAATGATGTTTTCAGCACCTGCACTAAAGCTGCCCCCGCGTCATCCTCCCGTCTGTTCGTCAAAGACATTTATTATAACATCATTTTAATAACAAAACAAAACAGAAAAAAAATCAGGGCCAGTCGAAGGATTTTATAAACGTTTGTCCACAAAGTTGGTTACCATGACAACCAAGTTTACTTCTTCTTATTCTAGTGGCGTTTTATTAGTAAACAAACAACTGCAGCATTAGCGCCACCGCCTGATCAGGAGGGTGAACTGAAACGCGAAAAATTAAATAAAATAAAAATAAAATAAATGAATAATACTACTAATAACAACACGGATCAAATAATAACTAAAGCGAAATAATGAATCATATACTTTTCTCCAAATTAATATCCCGGACAAACTTAAATTAAACTTTGAAACAACTATTCCTTAAGTCAAAATTCAGTTTGTAGTTTTTAGCTTTCTTCATTATGTTTCTTTCGACGTTTACCTTAGGGTTAGGGTTAGTTTTATGTTATATTTATGATTTAGTTTCATCTTTTACTCTCCTCTAAATAAAAGTAATAAATATAAATGAAGGTGGCGGAGAAAAGAAGATAAATATTAAATTTTAAATCGAACGCTTTTATTTTGACGCTCCCACTCGGCGGAAGTGACGCAGTGAAGTTGAAAGGTTCTCGATGCTAATGCTAAGCGGCTCGTGTGTGTCGGACTTGTTCCAGATGTGAGTCACTTTTACGCTTTAAATCTTTTATGTTCGGGATTTTGAAGATGTCGGACACAGAAGAAAACAGCGCGATGTTGGATCCGTGCGTCGTCATCACGAGCTCCGACCAAACGTTTCAAGAACAAGAACTGATCAAACGTAAGAGACGGAAGAGGATCAGACTCTGGATCAGACTCAGGATCTGGCTCAGATTCTGGCTCTGGCTCTGGCTCTGGCTCTGGCTCTGGCTCTGGCTCTGGCTCTGGCTCTGGCTCTGGCTCTGGCTCTGGCTCAGGCTCAGGCTCTGGCTCTGGCTCAGGCTCTGGCTCAGATTCTGGCTCTGGCTCTGGCTCAGATTCTGGCTCTGGCTCTGGCTCTGGCTGGGTTTGGGTTGTGTGTTTTGGGTTTAAGTTGGTGTTGGTATTTTGTGTGTTTGTGCAACATCAGGAGATTTGTGGATCTTTAATAGTTCTGTGTTTGTGTGTTTTTATTTTGTTGGGGTTTTGGGTTTTGTGTTTGTGTCTGTGTGTTTGTGTCTGTGTGTTTGTGTCTGTGTGTTTGTGTCTGTGTGTTTGTGTCTGTGTGTTTGTGTCTGTGTGTTTGGTGTTTGTGTGTTTGTGTTCTGTGTGTTTGTGTTTGTGTTGGGTTTTTTGGTGTTGGTGTTTTGTGTGTTGGTGTTTGTTTGTTTTTGTGTGTTTTTGGTGTTTTGTGTGTTGGTGTTTTGTGTTGGTGTGTTTTTGTGTTTTTGTTGGGTTTTTTGGTGTTGGTGTTTTGTGTGTTGGTGTTTTGTGTTGGTGTTTGTTTGTTTTTGTGTGTTTTTGTTTTGTGTGTTGGTGTTCTCTGTGTTGGTGTTCTGTGTGTTGGTGTTTTGTGTTTTGTGTGTTGGTGTTTTGTGTTGGTGTTTGTTTTTGTTTTGTGTGTTTGTGTGCTCTGTGTTTGTGTGCTGTGTGTTTGTGTTTGTGCGTCCTCCTCCTAAAGTCTCTTTTAAAGATGTGTTTATTTACATTCGAGTGTCGGACGTCCACATTTCCTCGGGACAGTTCCAGGTTGGAGTCTTGTGTCTCTGTCCCTGCAGATTTAGATACATACATAAAAACAACATTTCAAACGGATAGAAACAAAAACATGTGCAGGAGAAAATGAGAGACTGAGGAGAGCTGCTCTTCTATAAACATGATCTGATCACAACAGTCTGAACAGGGACGTGGACTTTCAGTAGTTCAAATATTAACTATCATTAGTGTTTCATTTTCATCATCTTCATCTTTATTCCAGACTCATGGTCCATTTGAAAAAAGGTGAGGACAGTGACAAAACAAAAACAATAAACAATTATATATGTTATTAGGTTCTTTTTTCAGGTGAACTTCAGAGTTTGTTTTCATACCAGTTTCGATGGCTCACCAGCGTCTTCCTCAGAGTCACGTGATGTTGATATGAAAACAAACTCTTGGTCTGAAAAAAGAACCTAATAACATAAATTATCGGAAGACCAAATGAACCTCATTGGACTAATAAACATTTATGTTTTTAAAAGAATCACACCAGAGTCTCCACATGTTGGACTGAATCTTATATTTCTGACTTTGTGACATTATTATTATTTCATTCTCTTTTTTTTTCTCTGCAGATAAAACTGTAAAACATAAAACTGGACATTAAAATTCTTCGTGCAGCTGCAGAGTTTTCACTCAAGCAGTAACAAATATTTCAGTCGCTCTCATCCATCGTGGCTCCTCAAAAGTAAAAGTAAAGCGTCACTGTAAACACCTGCAGAAACACATGCAGGTGCTCATCAAACCGGAGGATTAGATTCTTGTGGAGTAGAAAAAGGACAGTTTATGTCTCTTTACTGTTACAGGATCAGGTTGGTCCAAAATGGAGACACTGGGACTTTTCTTGTATAAAACTGGGACAAATCAGTGTTTAGTTTTTTTTAATAAATCCACTGGGACAGAGGACACACGCTCAAAACTGGGACTGTCCCGCAGTCACCCTGACCCAGCAGTGACTTGAGGACAATGATAAATGTTCTTTTCACTATTTTATTTCTACCACCCGTCCCAGTCTGGGTGCGTCCCTGTTTTGAATTCTGAAAATCCTGTCACTCTAATTTAAATGATCACTGTTGCTGTCTCTGGTTCTTCGCTCACACGGACCATCTGCAGCTTTATCCTCATCATCAGACTTACACAAACACACGTGTGACTTATGGATCTGGTGTAACAGTGTAAATGATGTTTGTTTTTTTCTTTTTTAGAGATTCTGAATTCAGGGACGTTACCGGAGCCGACCAAAGTGGACAAAGACGTGGTGTGGTATCCATGGACCATCAACAACAAATATTACACAGCAGAAGTGTCTCTGTGCACCGTCCCCAGCACCTTCCACATGTCATTAGAGATTTTCCAGGCGACTCAGGCTTTCATCGCTTATTTTGACAGTTCAGTGGTGAGTGGGACGTTTACTCACATGTTCTACTTCAGAAACGAGTGTTAAATCTCTCGAGTTTCTCATTGCAGAAAGACGGACTTGAAAAGCTGAATCCCTGGATATCGGTGGTGGAGGAGATCGCTCCAGAGGTTCTAATTCTAGTTTGTGACAAAGTCTGTGAAGACGGTAAGTAACTACAGGTTCCTGCAGACCTTTGGGATGATTCTGACTCGTTTCTCTTCTGTGTTTTTGTCTTCAGGAGTCACGAGGCAGGAGGCCCAGCAGTGGTGTTTGGCTCATTCTTTTGAACTGATCGAGCTGAACCCCGAGGATCTCCCAGACGAGGAAGGTAAAACTGCTTTTCATTAGAAATATAAGTTGTCGGATTAATGCCGAAAGTTTAAAATTCTTTTTATTCTTTTTGAAGACGATTTTCCAGAATCCACAGGGGTGAAGCGCATTGTCCAAGCTCTAAACGCCAACGTGTGGTCCAATGTCGAGATGAAGAACGGTGAGACACGAGTTTAAGTTTTAAAGGTTGTATGGAGGATTTTTTTGTTTCGAATTGTCAATGAAAGTTCAAAGTGACATTCTGAAGACGCAGCAGCCTTGGAATTATGATGACCAAAAAAAAAAAAGAGTGAAGATCCATCGATTGTGGACGTGGGAGACCAGATAAACATTGTTTGGTCGTCAATCAAACTCCCTACGTTCCTAGAGCCACTGACTCTCCGGCGTGTTGAGATTATGTGGTTTACGTTCGTCACTCACAAGACGACGTTTACTCGACCGACGCAGCGGCTCTGAGCGGCTTTTTCTAACTGTCGCTTCCTCACAGTTCGCACAAAGTTTGTTGCGATCGTCAACGAGAATCTACGACCAGTTCACCACAAAAGGAAGTCCGTTCATGAGGTCGCTGAAAGAAGAAGAGAAGGGGAAAAGGAGCGAAGACAAACTAAGGTGGTTGTGGATAGAGAGGAGTCTGACAGTTTAGATTATATTTGATTTGATCTCCATTAATGATCAGCTTTTCTTCTGGAGACCTACAGTATGCAGCAGGTTCTGGGTCTTGGAGATTCCTTCGGCGATGGAGCGACTGAAGCAGATGAAGGGTCTAAAGACGCATCTGTCGATAAATGACGTCTGGACAGGAAACTTCAACAGTGATTCTGAACACACAGCTGAAAACAAACAGGATTTGAGAGTGAGGAGGAAGAAGAGGAGGAGGTGTTTGTACTGAGGAGCTGTGGAGGAGGAGGAGGGCGTCATAAACATCTGAAAAAGACACTCGCTGTGTTTCTCTTTCCTTGGAAAATCCTTGATACAATCTTTAATGTCTTTAGTATGTCAGTGACTTCAGTTTGTCGTCTTGTTGCAGGGAACAGTCAGGGTCTGGGTCTGATGAGCAGTTTGGTGGCTGTAGCAGGAAGACACAGTTCTTCACGGAGCAGTGCAGAGCCGTCAGTGAGTTCACCTTTTCTTTAAACCTTAAACAGTTTTGTATTTCAGAGTGATATCTAAACATTTCCATATATATTTTGTGTGTGTGTGTGTGTGTGTGTGTGTTGTGTGTGTGTGTGTGTGTGTGTGTGTGTGTGTGTGTGTTAGCTCTCAGGTTTATCAGGGTCTGTGGACGTGGAGGAGCAAAAGGAAAGTGAAAACCCCGTCTCGGCGCAGGAGGACGAGGACGGTGTGGTCGGTGAGTGAATCTCTGACTTGAACAGAATAAACTTTCCTCATGTTTGACTTCTGTCTTTGCGCCGTGGAAATAAATGTTTGTATTTGTTCTTTGTTTTTACCGCAGACGCCATGACAGATCTGGACATCCAGGAACTTGCCGACCTCACCGCAGGAAACGCAGATGTGGATAATTTTGAACGTCTCTTCACCAAACTCAAAGAAATGAAAGGTACAAACTAAAACTCTGACCTTCTCCAGGATGTCACACTGTTCTCTGATCTGTTCTGCTGTGGTTTCCTCGTCACACAGACAAACTGGAGTTGTGTTTTGTTTCATTCACACGTTTAACACAAACCTGCACATTTTGACAAGAGTTCTTCTTTCCACTGTGTTTTTAAACTCCACACATCTTCACTAGAATCATTTGGATCATTTCCGCTCTGGAGTTGCCAATTTCTACAGAAAGAGCCACTAAACATCCAAACCACTTGTTCCTCCTGATTCTCTGAGTAAATGTGTGTAAAACAGAAGAGTGTTTCTGTCTCTGGACTTACTTTGTTGTTTTTGTGCAGATTTATTAAAAATGGGTCAAAGTCGGGTCTTTAACGGCCTCTTCAGGATCAACAGGACATTTGAATTTCCAGGTTGGACTAACGGATCCGATGAGGCAGGTGCAGGTTTTATGTGACGAGTGCAGACGCTGGCGTCAACAGGCGAGACGTGAGGAGCCTTTCTCAGCCCCGCCCCCACCTGGCACCGCCGGCGCCGCCGTGTCTCACCCCGACCTGGTGCCTCGGTGCCGCCAAGTCTGGAGAGAAGGGAAACAGCGTGATCCAAGTGCAAATGTCCGCTCTGTTTGAATGTCCCCGGATGCACCGGTCTGCGCCACGTCGGGTGGTTGTGGCGGTGGGTCGGCCGTTTATGGGCAGAGTAAATCCTCAGGGGGTTTAGAGGATTTAGTGAAACATGTGAAGGAAACAAAACTCAACTCCAGCTCTGTTTGTGACGAGGAAAAATGTTTAGACTTAAACCTCCCAGGAGTCACTTCTGTGTGATAATATTGGACCTTTTAACTGTTTAAATATGTTTATAGACGCTCACTATTATCATTATTCTTTTGCAGACAAAGCTTCATCGTTGCCTCACGACCAACGAAAGGTTCACGCAGAGAGAGTAAGAACTAAAACCACACAGGATTCATATTAATTCAACATTTACTAAGGTCATAATTGTTCTTTGTTTCCTTTTGTTCTGCAGGTGGCGAAGGCGTTCTGGATGGCCATCGGAGGCGACAATGACGAAATAGAAAGTTTATCCTCAGGAGAAGAAAGTTAAAATCAGACTCATCAGCCTCGTCTTCCTCGTTACGTAAGGTCCAGATTCTGCTCCTCGTGTTTCAGTCCAGAACAGCGACAGAACCTGGAACTGTTCTCTTGTTTTTTCAGTCTGTCCAGGATCCACCAGAGAAACCTACAGTTTAATGTAAATGTCTGTCCACTAAATACCACTTTTAATCATCCATAATTCACTTTTTACTTTTCCCTGTGTTTAAAATAAATGAAGGAGTCCAGTTAAAGTCATGAAATGAACAGAAAATATTTGCAGTCTGTAAGAAGGTTTGTGCTCTGAAGTGTGATTGAAGCTGCACAGGAGACGACTCGACGTCATCATTAGAACATAAAAGTCACTCTGATATTTAACTCTGTGTAGATCGTTTATGAAGCTGGTGATAAACTAAAACAAAAGGTGAAGAACAGTAAACTGAACAAAATTAGTAATTTAAGGGCGACTCACACTAGGACTTTAGAACCGTGCGACTGCTGTGGTTCTATGTTCCACACTCAGACCTGCAGAACAGAACCGATCCACGAGGACGTCATCACACTGCGCCGTTTGTTTACACGTGCTAATGCTTTTAGAGGAGAAAATAAGTCCAGCGGCAGAAATGTCTATTAAATAATGAGGCTCATGAGCGTCTTTTTATGATCCGCTTCTCTGTGAGTTTATGGAGATAAAAACAGCGCGGAGCAGTGAGGACGGACGGAGACGAGAGGAAGATAAACTTCTGTCTCTGTCCTGATTGAAGGTGAGTGTGGATTCACTCTGTGTTTTGGAGCGGAGTTTATTCACTGTTTTCCTCGTTTGAGTAACTGGCGCTCGTACAGTAAAGTTGTGCTCATGACAAACGTGCCGCGGTTTGACCCACACCTTCCGACCGGCCCAAAGTGTCTGAGCACAGTTCAGTTTCGCTCACACTGGACAAACGTACCAAAGTTTTAAGGTCGATCTTTGCTTGGACTCGGTTTTAAAGTCCTAGTGTGAGTGCAGTCGGTGAAAAACAGTTGTGACGTTGTTTTCTGAGCGTCTGTAGTTTGAGCTGAGCCTCGTCTGAATTGTCTGGTACAATTGTGTTTTCAGGCTGCAGATGTTTGACCTGATTTATATTTTTTAGCTCTGGAATCACCGAGTCAATTCTTATGGAACAAACACAGATTTAAAATGTCACATCTTCACCGTCAAAACAAATTATTCTTGTACACAGACCAGTCCGTGTTCCATTTGTTCTTTTGAATTTTAATTAAGAACGAAAAACAATCAAATGTGAAAACAGTTTATTTCATTTTTCTATTTTAGTGTCAAACAAAAAGCAGATTTTGACCTTAATTTCCAATAGGCAATATTTATAAAAACAGTCTCAGCGACTATTTTAATGTAATTTTTTTCTTTCTGGTTTATCTTAAGTTCTTCTGCTCAGCGTCGCCTGTGAATTCAGAGTGAACATGAATCTATAATCAAAACTATTTTTATTTTGGTTCTGTGGAGTCGACTGAACAAAGTTTCTCTGCTTCTGTTTCTCGTCGTGGATCAACATTGACTTTCTAAAACGTGAAAATAAACACGTCGCTGTAAAAGAAGAAACATGTTTGTCACAAAAAGGTTCGTCCTTCAGCAGCGAAACTTCAAATAAACCAAAGAATAAAATATCAGCATTAAAATAGACACGAGACTGTTTTTTATTGGTGTAATTTGAAATAAACTTTAAATTAAATATTGGAAATGGATCGAAATCTGTTTTTTTTTTTGTTTGACACTAAAACAGAAAAATTAAATAATAAACTGTTTGCAGAACGAGCGGCACACGGACACACGAGCCTCCCTCTGAAATAATCATCTCAAATTGTAGAATCTCACCGTCCGCTGCACATCAACTTTCTGTCTTTATTTTATTTTTAAACAGAGTTATGTAACAAAATCACTGCAAAAGAGATTATTTTTTAATTTCCTGTTCCCTGAAGTGAAGGGAAATAAATGAAACTCTATTCTTTGTGAACTGAAAATGTCATAATTATGTTTTAAAAGCCGACTAATATTTAATGAATAAATATTAGAAAATCCAGGGGTGGACTTTACTGTTTGGAGCACGAGAATCATCTGGATCATCTCAGTCGTGGAGTTTCTGATCTCGAGCGAATTAAAGGGAAAAGGAGTGAAAGTGTGAATGAAACAAACACGACTCCAGTTCTGTTTGTGACAAGATAAAAATGTTAGAACTTGACTTAAAACTCACTTCTTTTCAGGACTTTTAATAACCAGACTCAACTGCAGAGCAGATGACACACTGACCTCTGGTGGCAGCTTAACGTTACTGCTCTTTGTTCTAAGCCTTTGGAACTTTCCCTAAAGAGGAACTCTGGACTTTTCCTTTTTATTTGATTATGATTTTATTTAGCAGATTGAGAGTGAGAACATGATTTCAGTTTTTCAAATGTTCAGATGGAAATTTGACGACAAACTTTTGAATTGAATTTAAAAAGGTCAAGTGCCTCGTGTAACCCAAAATTATACACCTTGTTTTTCAAGTAAAAAAATCCAATCAAATGTATTTGTGCAGCAGATTTAAAACAGACAAAGCTTCCCAAAGTGCTGAACAACATTTACAGTGAAATAAATCAAGCAGAATAAAAATAATAAAAACTGCAGCAAAGGCGTCTCTTCCAAACTCTGAGCAAAAGCAGAAAAGTGCGTTTTGAGGATTTAAAGTTCTGCAGTGACTGTGCAGCTCTGATGTGTAAAGATAAAGTGTTCCACAGCCGTGTTCTGACCACAGAGAAGATCCCGTCTCCTCAGGTCCTCAGGTCCTGAGTCTGGTCCTGGGGGCAGGAGGAGGAGGAGGTGTTGGTCTGCAGAGCTCAGATCTCTGGGACACGGAGCTGGAGGAGTTCAGATAAACAAGAAGGCGCCATTAAGACTCTTCAAAACAAACATTACAGTTTTAAAATGGATTGTAAAATGTACCTGGAGCCAGTGCAGGATTTAAGAACAGGAGGATGTGGTTCTTCTGCTTCTTTCCCTGTGTTTGCTGTTTTGTTCTGGAGTCTGAAGGCGTCTGAGCTGAGCCTGACGCAGCAGCTCAAACTTACACAAGACTTTTTCTGTTCTTTATTCAGACCCACAGTTTGTTTTCATCCTGACACTTTGGGCTGCTCCTTGTCCTCAGAGTCTCGTGATGTGATGATGATGTCAGGTCTGAAAACAAACTCTTAGTCTGAAACAAGAACCTAAAAACATAAATTATCAGAAGATCAAATGAACGTCAATTCGTGTGTCGTTCGTTCATTTGTTTTTCAATATAAAACCAAAAATAAGAAAACGAAAAAACAACTATTTTCTTCATTATTTGTCTCCAAAACCAAAATGAAAAAACAGATCATGATTCGTTTTTTCAGTTTTCGATTTTGTGTTTAAATGAAGAAAGGAAAAAACAGATAACGGCCGTTTCCCGTTTACGTGACTTCAGTGACTGAACCAGGACTGATCCAGGTCCGGGACCAGAGTGGGATCAGAGCAGGACTAGACCAGGACCAGAGCGGGACCAGAGTGGACTCCGAGCTTTGACACCAAGCCTCAGCTTCGAGCTCCGGCCCTGCCGTAGGCTCTGAGCCTCCGGTCTCTGGTCCCGGCGGTCTGGTCTCGGTCTGGTCCCTGGTCGGTCTGGTCCCCGGTCTGGTCTCGGTCTGGTCCCGGTCTGGTCCTGGCGGTCTGGTCCCGGCCTGGTCTTGGTCTGGTCCCGTCTGGTCTGGTCTGGTCTGGTCTTGGTCTGGTCCCGGTCTGGTCTCAGTCCGGTCTGGTCTCGGTCTGGTCTTGGTCTGGTCCGGTCTGGTCTCTGGTCTCCGGTCTGGTCGGTCTGGTCTGGTCTCGGTCTGGTCTCGTCTGGTCTCGGTCGGTCTCGGTCTGGTCCCGGTCTGGTCCGGCTCTGGTCCCGGCCTGGTCTTGGTCTGGTCTCTGGTCTGGTCTCGGTCTGGTCTCGGTCTGGTCCCGGTCTGGTCCCGCTCTGGTCCCGCTCTAGTCTCAGTCTCGGTCTGGTCCCGGTCTCAGTCCCGGTCTGGTCCCGGACCTGGATCAGTCCTGGTTCAGTCACTGAAGTCACGTAAACGGAAAACAGTCGTTATCTGTTTTTTCACAAAATCGAAAACTGAAAAAATGAATCATGATCTGTTTTTTCATTTTGGTTTTGGAGACAAATAATGAAGAAAATAGTTGTTTTATCGTTTTCTTATTTTTGGTTTTATATTGAAAAACGAATGAACGAACGACACATTCACGTGGTTGGACGGAGAGCGACACCGATCGAGTCGTGAGGTTTTCAAAAAGCAAACGTGGAATGTACGATTTGATTTTGCTTAAAACCCTCAACTGATAAAAACTTGATTTAAGAACAGAGCTTTTTAACTTTTCAAATTTAAAACTGCAATAAAAAAATAACACCAAGTTTTCCAGAAATGCTTTTTCACAGGAGCCGAGACGAGCTGAGGCCCCAGAATCACCACAAACTGTGATTCTGTTTCTGTTTAAACTGAGAGAGTTTGATTGTGTCGTCAGCATTTGTCCAGTGTTTGTTCAGAGCAGCTGGTCTGGAGGAGCAGGTGGATTTACTCATCATCATCATCATCATCAGTGAAAAGAATTGGTTTGAGAGGAGAGTGAAAGAAGCCATTTTTGTTAAAGGTTGTATGGAGGATTTTTTTTTGTTTCAAATTGTCAATGAAAGTTTAAAATATCATTACAGAGACGCAGCCTTGTAATTATGATGAAAAAAAAAAAAAAGAATGAAAATCTGTCAACTGTGGACGTGTTGAGGCCAGAGAAACATCAGCCAATAGAAAACGAGGCTCCCTCTTTTTCTATTGGCTGTTAGGTTGTCAATCAAACTCCCTAGTGTAACTGACTCTCGGCGCACGGGGATCACGTGGTTTATGCAGCGGTTCTTAGAGGCTTTTTTAAACTGTAGCTTCCTCCCAGTTCGCACAAAGTTTGTTGCGATGTCGGACGAGAATCCACGACCGGTTCGCCGCAAGAGAAAGTCCGTTTTTGAGGTCGATGAAAGAAGAAGAGGAGGAGATAAGGAGCAAAACCAAACTGAGGTGATTCTTGGAGATCTCGTCCAGCGATGGCGCGAATGAAGCAGACGAAGGGTCTAAAAACTAACGTGTCGGTCGCTAAATTATTTCTAGGCAGGTCACTTCAACAGTGATTCTGAACGTGCACCGGCTGTAAACAAGTGTGATTTCTAGAGTAAAGAGGCGGGAGGAGATGTTTCTACTGAGGAGCTGTGGAGGAGGAAGGTGGTGTCACACATGCACAACATTTGAAAAAGAACTGTTGCTGTATTTCTCTTCCTTTAAGAAAGAGAATCCTTCTCTAAACAGAAATGGACTCAGACTCCATCTGTCTCCTGTTTACACGTTCATCCTCAAACCTCAAACAAAAACAAGAGAAGAAGAACAGGTGGAGTCAGGTCAGGACCAGAGGTGTGGAAGCTCCATTATGGACATGAACTGTTCTGTTCATTAGACCCACACACCCTGAACAGGTCAACAGACCCAACTAACAAACACAAACTGTAAACAAGTGTGTGTTAGTTCCAGAGGAGTTTCAGTGTAGTTAGCTCCTCCTGCAGATATAAGGAAGAGTCACAAGAGTCTGACAGAACTGAAGAAGCAGCTTGGACGAGCTGAGAAACATCTTCAAACAAATTAACTTTTGTCCAGTCGACAAACTGAATTTTCTCCTCGCCGTGGATTCTACCTGAACGACTGAGGGACTCTTGTTGTTGTTCAATCTCTACATGCTGCCCCCTACAGGCCAGTTAATAAGCAGCAATAACGTGTCGTACCACAATTATGCAGACGACACTCAGATCTACGTCTCTCTGGCAGCAGGAGACTATGGACCAGTGGAGTCACTTGGTCACTGCATCCAACAGATCAGTGTGTGGAGGCAAAACAACTTTCTCCAGCTAAACTCTGACAAGACTGAAGTCATAGTGTTTGGTCCACAGAAACAAAGGGACAGTGTCAGCATCACCTCCAGTCTCTCTCTCTAAAACCTTCAAATCAGGCAAGAAATCTCGGGGTAATAATGGACTCAGACTTGAACTTTAACAGTCACATCAAGTCAATAACATCTGCAGCCTTTTACCATCTAAAAAACATAGCAAAAATCAAAGGTTTACTGTCTAAATCAGACTTGGAGAAACTTATCCATGTGTTTGTCTCCAGGTAGGTTAGATACTGTAATGTTCTGCTCACTGGTCTCTCCAAACGAGCTGTGAGACGCTGCAGAACATCCAGAACATCCAGAACATCCAGAACATCCACAACATCCACAACATCCACAACATCCAGAACATCCAGAACATCCACAACATCCAGAACATCCACAACATCCAGAACATCCAGAACATCCACAACATCCACAACATCCACAACATCCAGAACATCCACAACATCCAGAACATCCAGAACATCCAGAACATCCACAACATCCACAACATCCACAACATCCAGAACATCCACAACATCCAGAACATCCAGAACATCCAGAACATCCACAACATCCAGAACATCCAGAACATCCACAACATCCAGAACATCCACAAACATCCAGAACATCCAGAACATCCAGAACATCCAGAACATCCAGAGAACATCCATCCAACATCCACAACATCCAGAACATCCAGAACATCCACAACATCCAGAACATCCAGCAGAACATCCAGAACATCCACAACATCCAGAACATCCACAACATCCATCCAGAACATCCACAACATCCACAACATCCAGAACATCCAGAACATCCACAACATCCATCCAGAACATCCAGAACATCCAGAACATCCAGAACGTCCAGAACATCCACAACATCCAGAACATCCACAACATCCACAACATCCAGAACATCCACAACATCCACAACATCCAGAACATCCAGAACATCCAGAACGTCCAGAATGTCCAGAACATCCAGAACGCTGCAGCTCGGGTCCTGACTCGAACTAGGAAGTCCGAGCACATGTGTCCTGGTCTCAGGTCTCTGCTCTGGCTCCTGTGG